TGGCTCCAACCCCATAAATAGTCCCATGAAATCCTGAACCCCACATCTGTCATCCCCGGGCAGGCCAGTGATTCTTAGGATCCAGGAGTCTCCAACCCCCAGTTCAGGAAGTCCAGCCTCCGGCCTCCAGCCCCACCTTCCTCGGGTCCTCAGGATCAAGGAGTGTGAGCTAAGGCTCCATCTTTTCCGAAGACTCTAGAAGATCACTCGGCGAACAGCCCGGGCGTGTGCCTCCAGGAACCCCATTCATAGCCCAAGGACCACGCCCGCAGCTCCCTCCTCTCTCAGTCTCCCAGAGGCGGGACTGACACGCGAGGTACTCATCCGGAGTCTAGCTACTATAAGCTACCCGTGACGTCAGTCAGTATCATGCAGCCAATGAGCACTCCTACGTCCCGGAGCCGCTCAAGGCGCTTTCCTAGTAGGCGGGTCCGTGGCGGAAATCGGACAGCGATAGGCTCTCGAAGACGCCAGTCTCCGCCACGCCCTGCCAGTTTGCGGGGTGGGAATCCTGGTCCCCTCCGCAGTGGCCTTACTGGGCCCGCGTAGAAACTGGTTCTGCGGGTTGAGCCGGGAAGCCCTCTCCAGCACGCCCAGTGTTGGGATTCTGGACAAGGCCGGACGGGACGCGGTGAGGTTTGGTGAGATTCGGGGCGGAGGGGGGCGCACATCCAGGGCGAACCCATTTTGCTTTGTTGGAGGGCGAACCCATTTTGCTTTGTTGGAAAAACTGAGTCCAGGATGCACGGTCTGATGGACACTCCTCTGTTCCTCCCACTCGATCTGCTCAGCCCTTCCCGCCCTCATTAATTCCCACACTCGCTGTTTCCCTCCCGCACTCGCTCCCTCCCGCACTCACTCACCTATTACTTTGTTAAACATTTCCTGAGGCTTCGAATCCGGCCTGGGCCCTGCCCTCAAGGAGCCCAGGTCACATGGGAGGACAGACACTGATGGGCCCGAGTATGCAAAGGCAGGGGGGCCCAGGAGAGTCTTTTTTGCACTTGATGTGTTCAGGGAAGAGTTTCCAGAGGAGGGGCCCCTAGAGCTGGATCTTGGAGGGGCAAAAAATGCCAGGCAAAGATGGAGAAGAGGGTGTGGGAAGGAGTTTCCACGTGACAGGGAGACGCCCGCCAGCACCACTGTGTCCAGGTGCCCAGGTGCCCAGGTGGAAGGCCAGCAGGGGGGCTAGTAAGGCTGCAAGACGATGAAGAACTGGGCAGGAGCCAGGCTGAAGAGCTTAGATTTTGTCCTGGGGGTGGGGAGTAGTGGGGAGTCACGGCAGGGTTTAGAGCAGGGGAGAACCAGGTCAGAATTGGGACCAGAGGACCTGGCAGGTGGCATGGTGGTTAAGGGCACTGGACTCCCATTTGGTCGACCGTGATTGGCATCCTGGACCTGGAGTTTGATTTCTCACTTTCCCTCTCTCCCTCTGTCTTTGTCCAAATTCAAAAAGAGACAAAAAAAAAAAAGTTAAATAAAATAATTCTTAAAAAACAAAGAAAAAAGAATTGGGACCAGACTGGAGGAAAGAAACTGGGAGCCAGCGGCTGAGAAGGTGGCTGTGGGGGTCGGGAGGATGGAGCCTGGATCAGGGCAGAGGCTGAGGGAGAGGACAGAGTAAGGGGGTGATGGTCCGGGACGGGGTGTCCAGGACAACACTCGGAGCTGAGACTAGGAGCAGGTTGGTGCGTGATGACTGTGTGGATGGAACTGAGGCAGGGGCAGCTGCGAGGCCAGCTCCGGCCAGTGGACCTGGACCTTTAGGAAGACTTGGGCCACAGCTCCTCCCCCACCGCAGGCCCTGACTCAGAAATCCCTGGGGGTGAGTGAGGGCCTCTTATGTGAGATCCCTTGCTTCCCATCCCCTTGGGAAACTGCTTTCTAGAGCTTCTGCATCCTCGGCCTCTACCTCTTTGCCCGCATCAGAACGTGCTCCACTATCTCTAAACACACACCACCCCCAGCAAGCTCCCCTGAATCTCTCATCCCTTTTACGGCTAAGGACCTGTGGTACCCACTGGCCCTGTCCCCTTTCACCTACCCCCTCTTTATTTATTTATTTATTTTTGAGAGGTTTTTCACTATAGGGCGCATGCGCTCGCCAGACAGAGACAGAGAGACAGAAAAGCGAGAAATCACCACCCAGAGGGGATGGCCACGCCGCAATCCCTTCTCCTCCATTCTCCTCTTGGGATCTGGGGCACGCACGCACACCCGCCTGGCGTGAGTTTTAAGCTACCGGGTCCGGGACGCGAACTGCGGTCGACTACGTGGGAATCCAGCGACATAGCCATTACGCTAACTGCTGGTTCCCTCACCCACCCCCTCTTCAACCACTGTGTCTGACTGCACACCTCCCATGGCCCTGCAGTGGCTCTGGACAAGGCCGCTGAGGTCACCTTCCAGTCGCTCGGGCCTGAGGATAGCATTTCAACTCTTCGACATGGGCCGTCTCCTGCCTGTGACTCCCTGGGCCTGTCATCGTTTTGCCGGGGTAGTGTCCTCTCCCTCCAGCTGCTCTCAGACCCCCAGCACTTGCCTTCCTCTGCGCAGCCTTTAATGGGGGCTGTGGTCCTCAGGGCTCTCTGCCCTGGACCTGTGCCCTTCCCTCTGTCCGCTCTAATGCCAGTCCCCTGGCTGCAGCCAGCAGCGAGCACTCAGAACGCTCCCTGCTGCCTCCTGGATGTCCCTCTAGATTGTCTCATGGAGACTTTCCATCCCACCATGTCCAAAACAGCCCTCGGCACCCCCTCAGTGACCGGCTCCCCCTTATGCACACACACGCATCCTCCTCCCAGTGAAGAGACAGACGGCTCACTGTCCACTTGCTCCCCTGGCCAGAACTGGGTGCTGGTTTTGTCCCCCTGCTCTCCCGCCTCACCCCTGCCCTCCAAAAGTCCTTTTCATCCAGACTGTTACGTCACCCTCATGGCTTCTACCCTGTCAGGCCTTGTCCTCCCTGTTCCCAGCCTCCTCCCTTGCCTCCAGAGCTCTAGTCTTGCCCTTTCAGTCTGTCCCCCAACACCCCAGCAGGGCCCTTTCAGTGCCCCAAGAAGATGCTGGCCCTTTCTTGCTCAGAATGCTTCTGTGGCTCCCACCGCCCTCCACATATAAGTGCAAACTGTACGCCAGGCTTTTCGGGTCTGCTCCTGCTGCCCACCCAGGCCCCTTGGGCCACTCCTCTTTTTTATTTTCTTGAGAAAGGGCGTGTGCTCACCAGAAGGACAGAGACAGACAGAGAAACAGAAAGCGAGAAATCACCCCGTAGGGGGTATGGTCACACCGTAGTCCCTTCTCCTCCAATCTCCTCTTGGGATCTTGGGCACGCACGCACATGTGCCCAGTGTGAGTTTAAGCCACCGGGTCCAGGACTTGAACAACAGTTGACTACATGGGAGTCCAGTGACAGCCGTTATGCCAACTACTGGTCCCCCAGGGCCACTCCTCTTACACATGGCCCTCTGGCAGATGGACGCTGTGACCACTGCTCGCAGGCTCTCCCATCCTGGCATGCTTTTTCTGTCTAGCAAACTCACACTTATCCATTAAGGCTTCTGTGAAGCCCTCCTTGACTGACTGGTGATTCCAGGGTCAGAAAGCTCTTGAGGACAGGCGCTGGGTTTAATCTCCAGTCCAAGTGCAGGAGGCAAGGTCTTTGGGGGTGATTTTGGGACAGGCACAGTGGAGAAGAGCTGCACTTCTAGTGTTTGGGTGACCAGTTTTCTGTTAGCTTGGCTCCAGTTCTGTAGGGAGTTTGCGTCGCTGGAGCCTGCCAGGCCCAAGGAGTTTTTTCTCCCGGTGGATGGATGCCAGGCTGGCTTTGTAAAGGGGAGTAGCTTTCCACTGGGACCGCCAGAGTGGAGCTACTGTCCGAGGAGCTGAGAACCCAGCGTCCCCGGCATTCTGGACTGAGGGGCGGGGTGTGGGCGGGGGTGAGTCTCTGTTAGGAGGGGCTCCGCACTCGCACTCTCTGAGGTCCCAAGATTCCAGGCCCACGTCCTCCCTCGCGTGTTTCTGCGTTTCTCGCAGCTTGAGTCCGATGCTGCCCCCTGGTGGGCAAACGACCCACCCCATTAGAGAGAGGCCTAACTAATTAAATACTTTTATATACAAAACACAAACAAAACAAAGCGACCTGCAGGGAGGGCCAGACCCGCCTGAGGTCGCAGCAGCAGTAGAAGGCAGTGG